TACTAGCTGGTATTCGGTTCTGCCTTCTCTTCCTAACACGTACTGGGAAACATAACCAGTGTTCACACAGGAACATACTAGGTTACAACAGTATCGCTTCTGCAACTAACATTTTTGTTAATTAAATGCTAGCAGCCTCGCCAAGCCACTCAAGTTTCGTATGAATAGGGCTATTGCCCTGGGTCAAGTCAAAAACCTGCATGAGCCAATCAAAACCACGCCTACTGAAGTGCATTGAGTAGGCATTTAAGTATCTTTTAAAAGTCAACCACTATCAGTGCTACTTCTGTCGAAGTATACATCCAAAAATTGCCCCTCCCCGATGGCATCTCCTAAGCCATTGAGTCCTCCTTACCCATCGACCGAGATAGGTTAATCATGTGCTGCGCAGACCTCTGGGATATTATCTCCTCCGCGTTTGCTTCTGGCTTGCTGCGGCTAGCTGAAGCCACGCGCAGTTAAATAACCATGAGCTTGGGCCCATCCACGCGGTCTAGGCTTGCTGAAGTTTGCATAACAACTTGCTTAAAAATCCGTCTGGTCTACTGACTGTGATCGGAGGAGGTGTGGTTCTTAAGTCAGATGATTAAGTTGTACGTGCTGTTCAATCGTTCCGAGTCTACGAGCACATGTGAAGGTTTGCAACGGACTTCGGGTGCCACCGCCCCAGACACAGCAGGTCTTACCAGTCACACAGTGACGAACAGTCTGGTGTGCAACGAAATATATCGGATAATAAGCGTACAACGAAAGTCGACAGAGATGTAAGTCAACCTTCAGGTGATACAAAGAAAAGGGACGTTTTCAATCACTCCTGTTCCAAAAAACTTCAGACTGCTATTCTCCGACGGTTAAATTTGCTCATTATGATATTGCATGTTCTTAAAAGAAGTTTTGAATAAATTAAACAGAAGTACTAGTGGGAAAAATAAGTAGAATGGCCATCTAGAGAGGGCATGGGAATAGAAACGTCACCCCACTTGAAGTTCAGAAAAAGTAAGTGCTCCTGTATTGTATTTTTACCAATGCTGAGGTGTCACCATCTAATTGCGCCCCGTTTGAATCCCCAAGGAAAAACACAACAACGAGACCGCAAAAGTGAAAGTCACCAGAATGAGGGTCTTATTGTGCACAGAACCCGGAGTTGCTGTCTCAGGCAGCAGTGGCCGCTGGCGAAGCCTGAGAGTGTCTACGAGTCTCGTGTGTGAGATGTCACAGTTGCGTTTAAATGATTGTGAAGCTAGTTCAAGTGTTGCAAGATAGGTGCGTTGGATTGCTTGAGGGATCTCGAGTATTGAGGTTTCCAATCTGTTGAGGTCCAATCTGTTTCCCTTTTCAGGGTTGCGCTCATCCCAAATTCAGGCGGCCGACAGCCAGGCGGTTGTATGTTGCTGTGGTGGGGGAGAGAGTGAGGATGACCCTTGGCGCACTTCATTCCTCATTTTAATGAGGATTCCTCACTATAATTAATCCGACGCACTTGAACCTATCACGGCGCGCTAAAAGCCGTGGCTTGGAGGGTTGCCAGCTGGTGGGTACCCCGGACACCGCAGTCGGTCCAGTGTGTCTTGCTGCGTGATGTGGCTGTCTGTGGGCTGAGAGTCGGGCTGCAAAGGCTCGCTCTTAATGTGGTCTTTATGATACTCCCCGTCGGGAGAGGTGCTGTTGAGTGTTTAGTGTTTGTCGCGCCAGCCATCTGCGCCCCCAGCAATATTTTCCCAGCCTACTTGACTCTGTCTTGACAACCAGAATTAGGTGTGGGAGTTCTCAGAGAGTGGGGTAGACCCGGCTAGTTTGCCTTCACAATCTTTTTGGCTACAGTAGCTTATGTAGCCACACACATTAATCCCTACAACCTGCATGTTTTCTAATGAAAACGATGTTTATCGGGTTTTATGGACGCGAAATTAGAACACGCAGTGGAATATACTTTAATTAATGCTCAATGTATTTTTAC